TAGGCTGCGTATTTCGTGCCGGGGGTCATGGAGGCGTTTTGACAAAACCGGGGCCACCAACATATCTTAATTAATCTGGTTTTGTGAATTCGTTCATTGTTTTATTAGCTCTAGGAATAGTAAATAAGGATGGATGAACATAACTAAAATTCAATTTTTTGTTAGTTAAGAAGATAAAAATAAATGTTGATTAACTTCTATTTGTAAATAAATAAATAAATTATGTGTATCTTTAATAATTTAAACTTTTATGTGATACGATCATCTACATCATCTAATATGGTATCAGAGACCACCTCACCTAATATTAATATTAATATATATATATATATAATCCTAATATATATTTAAACTTTTATGTGATGGTGTAGATATTGGATTTGTAACAGATTATAGATTCTCACGTCATCTAAAAAAAATATATATTAATATATATATATATATATATATGTAAATCAAGTCCACATCAAATATCTAATATTTGGAATCATACTCATTAAAGTTGGTTCACATGATGTGCATTCTTCAACCTCCACTTCAACAACAACAACAACAATAATAATAATAATAATAATAATAATAATAATAAAAAAAAAGTTTATGTCACTTTAACACCATTACTTAATTTTGATTAAATAATTTGCCATTCATAAGTATTTCTTTTTGGCGGTGGCATTTAGTATATACATAGAAACCTGCAGAGATGCCTTTAGCTATATGATATACATTACATTGAAAAATAAATAAAATGTATAGAAGGATAGTATTTTTATTTTTCAATTTATTTCAATATTTTTAAATAAAGTAACGTTAGATATAATATACTCTTTGTATGAAAAATAAATAGTTGAGATTGCAGCGTATTAGGTTTAGGGTGGCGGCCGCGGGTTTACTCAGTGCGCACTTTCGGATAGCGGCCGCGGGTTCCCACGTCATTAAAACAATAAAAATAAAAATAAAAATAAATAAATAAATAAATGAGATTGTATTTTTAAGTGAAAAATAAATAAAGAAAAAAATAACACTGGCTAGTTATAGTTATTATTATTTACTTTTCTACAAAAATGAAAAAACAACAGGAAATCATTTGCATTCACTAAAATATTTAATACTACTATCGTAATATATTTTGGGATTAGGCGAAATGGCCAATAGATAGCTCTACAAACGGCCTTGTGAATACATATTATCAATGAAATTGAAATTTTAATAGATTTTTAAAATACAAAATATGGGACCCACAACTAATTAAATAGTATATATTTTAGAATAATAAATAATAATAATAACAAAATTGCTTTTTTTATTTTTTATTAAATTTGCTTGGTTGTGTTTAGATTGTGATATATATATACATATATATAATAACAATAACAATAATAGTAATATAAAATTTTAATTTATTAAAATATAGATTGCTACGTGATTGTTAAGTACTTTTATTTTTATTTGTATTTTATTAACATCAGGTAATATTTTATTAAATTTAAATTTTAAAATTTAAAATTTAAAATTAAGATTATATCAATGTTTTACTCCCTCCGTCCCAGATACTATGTCCACGTTGTCGTTTCTGTCCGTCCCACATACCATGTCATTTTTCTTTTTTGAAAAATGATTACACACTTTAATCTCATTTTAAATTTTTTAATTTAATTTTTTTTATTTTAATTAAACTAATTAGTTATCTTAATCTTAATTTAGAATTAGGATAATTATTTTCACTAATACATTATTAATTATCTACTAATTACACTCCTACTAAAATACCGTGTCTACAATGTAGCAGACACGGTATCTGGGACCAAGGGAGTATATTTTAATGTATTAAAAAATAATATTTAAAAATACTTAATATTATTATTACTTGTAATATTCTTTCTTAGGTGTCATTATACAAAAAATATGTTTAGTTAAAATTGTAATATAAAAATATTCTAATATGAAAGAAAAAGAATATTATCTCTCTTTCATGAAAGATATCTTTTTTTATTATTATTATAATAAATTAAAAAAATAATAGTATATTTCCTAACAAGTTTGAGCTAGATAGAAAAATCTAAAATACTATTGGGTTTAGCTACAATATTTTCATAAATACAAGAGAGAATAATGTTAAATTGATAATTGGATGAAGATTATATAGACTATAAATAAAAATATGCTACCTTCGTCCGGATCTAAGGATCTTATTTACTTTTTGCATATTGATCTTTGAATATAAATTATTATATTAAAACTTAGTACAAATTAAAAAAAAAATTACAAAAATACTTCAATTAGTGTCTTACAATACTAATAGAAAAACATTTGCACAAAAAATTATACAAATATATAGATATTTTTAATGTTAAGTACAATGACGCAAAAGATAAATATAACCTTAGATGCGGACGAAGAGAGTACTATTTAAGTGAGACAATTCTAATTAATAATAAGTAAAACCACATATGGAACGAAAGGCGTATATAATTTTTTTTGTATTAGTTTATTCCCTATATATGTCGAATATTATTAAAAATTTACGCAAAACACTCTCATACGTTTTTACAAATATTTTGAATGTTAGATTTGGCAACAATGCATTTAATAATTCAGCTAAATTTTTGTTTGATTAAATTTGTTTTACATCGAGTTTACTAATTTTTTTTTAAAGACAATTTTTGATGAAATTTATTTTTACTTATGGCCTTTAATGTATGCATCCCTTTAAATAAATTTTGCAAATTACATTATCATTGAACAATATTGTGTAAGAGGTAATATGTCATGGCGGACACGTAGCTTTCAGCAAGCCATGCGGGCGTCTTTGACGCCGGAAGACTAAAACAACGAAAATTTTTCACTTATAGAACTAATTTGCGACAAATTTACATGACTAAAATGATAAGGGGTTAATTACGGAAAAAAAAATAAAAAATTACCCTTCTTATTATTATTATTATTATTATTATTATTATTATTATTATTATTATGGCACTCCTTTTTTGTTGCAAGCCCATGATTAGAAAATGGACAATTATGAGAATTGAGAAAAGTAAGACAATAATGGCGTAGGAGATCGGGAAAGCTTGACCGTAGATCCACCCAGAAAGCGACACTCACAAACACTACTTCAAATTGAATTCTTAATAATAAAATTTTGTAATTAAAAATAATTATAACTTGTAGTATAATATAAATAAGTAGTATTAGAATAGAAAATTAATTTTTTAATATCATGTTAGCCAAAATTATAATAATTTTTTTTTTTAATTATTGTTTCTTATATTTATACATAATAAAGATTTTATTATGTCTGATGTTGAATGATCGTCTAACTGTTAAGAAAACGCAGTCATTAATCATATATCATCAGTAAACGGGAGTCCCCGACACATATTCATTTATAATTTTATTATTGATATTTTAAAATATAATAACAATTTGGCCTCTAAAATTAAACAACACTTTCACTATTATAAATTTAGTATTAGACCCTCAATTTATTTTGTACCTACTCAATTTTATATTAAGATTCCATTGTTTTGCATCATTTTTTTTTAACAGTATGAATAATAAATTGCATTGAACTCTTATGTTTAAAAATATTGCAAATAATTTCGTGTAATTTTATTTTTTATTTTTAAATAGAATACATTTTAGACCACAAATAAATTATAAATAATTTTATATATATTTAAAATATATAACATAACATATAAAAATTTATTAATATTCAAATTTTCAGTTTCATAAATTTATAAATAAGTATATTTGAACAATTAAATTAAATATTTGTAATAATAATTTTTTAAAAAAAATAATAGAAGTGGCCAATTACAAAAAAGGAAAATCTTAAATTTTAAAATTTATACCTATAATACAAAAAATTAATATATATATATATATATAATAAAATAAAATGGTTAGGCCCCACCGGCGAGGCCTTTGATTGTACCACATATATATATATGATAGTGATATTTTTAAATTTATTTACAAAAACTAATTAAATATTTATTATGGTTCAAATGATACCATTTATATATATATATATATATATATATTTTTGTCTATTCATTCAAAATTATCAAAGTTTTTATTATAAAAAGGTAATAATCACCCATTAATGTTAATATATTATTTAAAAAACTATTGAGTGCGAATTTTCAACTAGAGTTCTCACGTCATAAAATAAATAAATACTAAAAACAAAAGTATTAAAATTATTTTACTTATTTTTTTTATTTTTAAGGACCAATAAAATATTATCAGTTTTTTAAAATAATATAAAAATTTAAATTTATATTTTTGTCCAAGATTGAAAAAATATATATTTATATCTGATTCAAAAGTGTATACAATATTTTTTTATTTTCTATGTAAAATTTTCTAGAAAATCAAATTCAGAAATCAGAACCTGGTTACAACCACAACTGATTGCTATAGGGTCTGTTTTTTTTTTTTTTTTTTTTTTTACGGCAATTTTTTCAAATTTTACTATTTGATTTTGCGTTTTTCGAAAAAAAATCTCTCTGTTTCATATTTATATATTCATTTATTTTTTACACGAATTTTTAGAAATATTAATATTATATTATGATAAAGTAGAATAAAGGTAAAAAGACTAAATTAAGGTAACGATATTTGTGTAATATATTGTAAATTGAAATGGTATTTGTAACGACATACATTCAGTACAATTACTAAAAAAAAAATGAATACTTTTGTTATGAGACGGATCAAAATGAAAAAATTGATAGATTATTTAGGGACGGAGCGTATTTTTTTCTCTCAGAAAACATCCCATCAAACATTATTTTCATACCAAACACAAACCAAATTTTTTCAAACCAACGAGTAGAAACACACTTATTTAATTGGATAGCGATAAAATAAATTATACACTAGAGTAGGATATACATACACATATATATGTATATATAATCCAAAAAATACATACATATGTCTGTATGTATACATATACACACCCCAGGACAAGAATTGCAACGTCAGACTCTACAGAGAACAACGCCCCCATTGCCATTGCATAACGATAAGCATATGATTTCTGTGTGATGAACCAACCTCAGCCTCAGACTCAGCTTCGGACTCAGCCTCGGACTCAGCCTCGGACACATCACAGCCTACATTTTCCAGATCTTATCATTACACCAGAGCTTCAAGAAATCAAGATCATCCATCCATGGCTGTTTCCAGAATCATTTCTTCTCTACTTTCTCGCTCATCCCCTGCTACTTCTGCTCTCGGTCTCTCTCTCTCTCTCTCTCTCTCTCTCTCTCTATATATATATATATATATTGATTATAATTGAATTAATTAATTAATTACAGGAAGAAGAAGCAGGGTTGTGCAGAGGTGGTTTAGCAGTAGTGCTGCAGCAGTGGATGAAGAGGCAATAACTCCTCCAGTGCAGATTCATTACACAAAGCTTCTCATCAATGGAAATTTTGTCGATTCTGCTTCTGGTCACTCACCTTCTCTCATTATACTTATGATCTATTTTTTATTTGAAAATTCTGCATAATTTATTATTATTTTTTTTTTTGGTAAAAAAAGTAACAATAAATTAATTATTATTTGTTAAAATAAAAATATTGAAATTATAATTGTTAGATGTAAATGCAGAGTAATTGTTTCTTCTTGCTGTTGATAAATTACAATCCTACCCCCATACACATTTTACATATATAGTTAGAGAAATTATATAATATTCTATTGTACTTTAGTAAGATGCATAAAATATTTATTGTTTGAAATCTTTTTGGTTAAATTAAAATCTAAGCAAAATATTTTTTTCATCGATATTTGAGTGTAAATACAAATTTAATTATGTAAATTTTATATAAGTAAAAGAGGTAAATATATTAATAGTATTTTTCCGAATAAATAAATAATTGATTATATTTCATTTTATAGTTTTTTAAAACAAACTTTTATCTAATTTTTACAAAAACTTTAAAAATAAAGGTGATCAATTATTTATTTATTTATTTTATTAAAAAGACTATTTAAGATACTATTTTATTTCTTTTATTTGTATAAAGTTTGTATAATTTTAGTCTATATTTACAATCAGATATCAAATTTTGACCAAATATATAAAAATTTCTTACAACTGAAACAAACAATTTCAATTTCATATTTTAATTAAAAGATCGATCTCTCACAGTAAAATTTATCAGGGAAAACGTTCCCCACGCTTGACCCGCGCACGGGTGAAGTGATTGCACATGTCGCCGAAGGTGATGCAGAAGACATCAACCGCGCCGTGTCCGCTGCGCGCAAAGCATTCGATCACGGGCCGTGGCCAAAAATGTCCGCCTATGTAAGGATACTTATTCTTAAAATGTGCTCACCTTCATCTACTTTTCTCGATTTTTTCAATATAATCAGACTAAGTAAACATGATCAAATAAATAATCTCAGGAACGGTCGCGTATAATGCTCCGATTCGCTGATCTGGTGGAGAAGCACGCCGAGGAGCTAGCGCAGCTCGAGACATGGGACAATGGAAAACCGTACCAGCAGGCCCTCAAGGCGGAAATCCCGATGTTTGCGCGGCTGTTCCATTATTATGCCGGTAATAAAAACAAGACTCTTCTGAATCTTTCAGTAGTGTTTTAAAATGTAGGTAAAATTGTTTATGAGTGACTTATAACTTGAAAATTATAGACTCCTCATAATTTAAAAATTGCATAAGTTTTTTCGTATTTTAAAAAATATTGCATGGAATTTTTTAAAATGGCCAAAGGCTCGTGTAGATTCTAAATGTTGAAATAATATAATGCAGACTTTCCAAACTATTTAACTTATAAGCAATTTTACTCTCTTGAATTCTCCAGATATCTTTAGAAGGTTTGAATTTTGGGTTTGGGTTTTTAACAGTAGAATAATTTTAATTTAAATAGTTGTATGATGTGACATAAATATGTATTAATAAATTTCATTGAATATAAAATATATTTAATATAATTTTTAAAAATAAAAATAAATATTTGATTTTTGATATATATTTTTTTAAAAAAAATTAATGAATAGTAAAAATCGGGATAAAATCCCCCAACCAAACACACCCTAGTGTCTTAAAGTGCAAGTAAAATTGTTTATAACCTACCGGTGGTCTGAAAAGTCTCCTCTCTTCTTAATTTAGAATTTATATTTTCGAAAATATTGCACAGAATTATTTAACAAGTTCAAAGCCTTGTACAATTTACTTTTCAAAACATGAGTGATTTATATAAACAAATATGATTAGATTGGATAAAATAATCAGTCGACAACATCCGATGATTGCAGGATGGGCGGACAAAATTCACGGTTTGACAGTGCCGGCTGACGGGCCTCACCACGTCCAAATCTTGCATGAGCCGATCGGCGTGGCCGGGCAGATCATTCCGTGGAACTTCCCCCTTCTAATGTTCGCCTGGAAAGTCGGCCCGGCTCTCGCCTGCGGCAACACTATCGTTCTCAAGACTGCCGAGCAAACACCCTTAACGGCTCTTTACGCCGCAAAATTATTCCATGAGGTCGCTTCTCGATTACTCTTTAATTTCTCCTTGGATCTTCTATTACAGCCTGCAAGTATTTGCTGAAAACTTTTTTTTTTTATGTCCGAATTTGAACAGGCCGGGCTTCCCGAAGGTGTTCTTAATGTTGTGTCTGGATATGGTCCTACTGCCGGCGCAGCTCTTGCTAGTCACATGGACGTCGACAAGGTACTTACGCCTTCTTCAACCCATTATTCCATTTTTACAGCAAATCTACACTGATTTTATTTCAACAATAAACTTCAATTACACCTCAATTTTAATTATTTTACATTATATATCACTTTTATATTCCTCTTTTATATTATTTTATATAACTTTTCATATTTATAAATTACACCTCAATTTTAATTATTTTACATTATATATCACTTTTAAAAATAAAATTACACCTTGTTTTTAATAAAATAAAATTATATATCACTTTTCAAAAATTAAATTATACATTATTTTTCAAAAAAATAAAATTACATATCACTTTTTAAAATATAAAATTATATATCATATTCTAAAAAGATAAAATTACACAATACATCAAAAAAAAACAAACATACTCAGAACACAAAAAACTTAAAAAATAGAGCGGAGGTACAGTTATGGAGTAACACTGTGGGCAGCCCCAAAAATGGGGGGATTTCAGGGTGGGTTGGAACCCCTCCCACAATTTTTGCACAACCCACTGCATTTTATACAAAAATTAATCGATACTTTTATTGCATATATATGTTCTTCGTCGACGTTATATATATTTTTGGGTAGCTTGCTTTTACTGGATCGACTGAGACCGGAAAAGTTGTGCTGGAGTTGGCTGCGAAAAGCAATCTGAAGCCTGTGACTTTAGAGCTCGGAGGCAAATCGCCATTCATTATTTGTGAGGATGCCGACATCGACAAGGCAGTAGAGTTAGCGCACTTCGCGCTATTCTTTAATCAGGTGTACAAGGCGCGACGAAAATTTGCATCGAATCAAATCAAATTTAGTTTTAACACTGAAGAAAAATTGTTTGGTTGATCTCAGGGGCAATGCTGCTGCGCTGGTTCACGTACTTATGTCCACGAACGGATCTACGATGAGTTCATTGAAAAGGCGAAAGCGCGTGCTATGAGGCGTTCCGTAGGCGATCCTTTCAAGGACGGAGTCGAACAAGGTCCACAGGTATGTATATATATGATTGCGGTTACCATACTGACTGTAATTAACATAAAAAATGTACAGATAATACACAAGATATAACTCAATAGCATAAGATCTAGATAAAATTCCTTTAAACTTACTTGTGGTTTGAAAAGTCTATTTCATTTTCTTTTGTGATTTAAAAATTGTATAAGAATTCTTGTATTTTTGAAAAATTGCACAAAATTCTTTTTTTTAAGGAATTCTATACAACATTTTAGAAAATACAAGAGAGTCTCGTTCAATATTGGCTAAATTGTCCATAATTCTCTTGTGATTACAAAACTTAACGTAAATCTCATTTACTTTGAAAATTGCATGGCGTCCCCTTATACTTTCAGAAATGCTATATAGAATTTCTTTGTCATTTCGAAACTCAGCTTAAATTTTCACTTTATTTTAAAAATTGCATGGCGCTCCTTATATTTTCAAAAATGTTACATGAACCCCCGCCATGCAAAAAATATAGATATAAATCATCTTCTCATCACACAAGGGAGATTTCATGATGGTGGAATTTAATGCAAGTTATGCAATTTTTAAAATATAAGAAGATTTTACGTTAGATTTCGAAATCATTGGGAAGTTATGAACAATTTTACCTTCAATTTTTAGAGAATTTCTGTTCAATAGTTTTTAAAATACAAACGAGCCTTGTGTAATTTCTAAATTAGAGAAGTATAGTGCCGATTTTTCAACCATAGGTGGATTATAAGCAATATTTTCAGTTAATAATAGTCCGTACAATACATACTATAATTAATCTCATCGGCAACGCTCTAACCATTATGATATATATATGTGTGTTTCTTTCTTAAACAATATCGATATATCAATAACGATTGTCTTCGATGATTTTCAGATCGATGCAGAGCAGTTCGAAAAAGTTCTTCATTATATAAAATTGGGTCGCGACAGCAACGCCAATCTTGAATGCGGAGGAAATAGAGTTGGATCAAAGGGCTACTTTATACAGCCTACTGTATTTTCCAACGTCGAGGTAACACCTACGACTGTACAACGTCGCAAACTTTTCAATCAACTCATATATATGCAATACTCTAATGAAACAACTCTTTCGTCCTTTTCACGGAAAATATAATCAGGACAACATGTCGATAGCGCAAGACGAAATATTCGGCCCGGTTCAATCAATCTTGAAGTTCAGGTAAGCAATTATCGATCAAATTATAACAAGGAGAATGAAAAAAAAAAAAAAAAAAAAAGGTAAAATTGTTCTTAACTACCTGTAGTTTCGAAATTCAACGTAAAATCTCTCTGTAATTTAAAAATTGCATGGCACCCCCTTATACTTTAAAAAACGTCGTATGAAACCCCACCCCCATAAAATTTCTTTTATGTGATGAGAAGATGATTTCCTATCTGTATGTTTTGCATGGTGGAGGGTTTCATGCAATATTTTTGAAAGTATAAGGGTGGTCATGTAATTTTTTAAAGTAAAGTGGAGATTTACACTGAGTTTCTAAACCACAACATAAGGGTTTCATGCAATATTTTTTAAAGTATAAGGGGACGCCATGCAATTTTTAAAGTAGATGGAGTATTTACGTTGAGTTTCGAAACCACTAAGGAGTTATGGGCAATTTTGCCAAATTAATGTAAACCAATTCTCGGGGATGTAGGGACATCGACGACGTGATCAAACGAGCAAATGCGACACGGTATGGACTGGCAGCGGGCGTGTTCACGAGAAACATCGATACGGCGAACACGTTGTCGCGGGGATTGAAGGCGGGCACGGTGTGGGTGAACTGCTTCGACGTGTTCGATGCGGCGATCCCGTTCGGAGGGTACAAAATGAGCGGGATCGGGAGGGAGAAGGGTGTATACAGCCTTAACAATTACTTGCAGGTTAAGGCTGTTGTGTCTCCCCTCAAAAATCCTGCCTGGCTTTAGACAAGACTATGGGTTGTCTGGAAGTCGAGTTTCGTCAAAGAAAACTACACTCTCTACACACAAGACCTCGTTCGTCTCCCTGCTACTGCTACTGCTACTGCTGCTGTTAAATAATACCTACAAATGTTTGTTTGTTCACATTAATGAAATAAGTAAGGTTGCGTTTGGTTACTGGTTGGAGATTAAAGTAAATTAGGGGTGGAAATAGTACAGGTCCCACCGAACTTTGATTAAATAGATCTGGTCTGTTTTAAAAATATTTGGCTTAAATTTGACCTATAAGCTCAAAAACAAAATTTAAAAAATTTGAGTTTAACTTTTTTAAAAGTCTGACACCTACAAGGCCTATTTAAAAAATTATATAATATTTTATTTATTTATTTATTTGCAAATTTAGCATTAGAAATAAAAAAAAATAATAATAAAATGCATACAATTATTTAATATATATAAGTAAAAAATCTATTTTTTATATAATAAATTTATAATTAAAATTATTTAATAAAAAATATTATTAGATAGAAAGTTATTCTTAATCTATAATAATGAAAAATAATTATAAAAAAAAAAATAATAATAAATAGATTGTTTGTTAATTAAAAAAGTTTTTTTAAGCCTAAGTATGTTTTATTTAAATAAAAAAAGTTTAAAAAAAAATTGATCTGACCTTTTTAATAAATAAATTAGGTCAGATCATAGACAGTCTGATCTATTTCTACTCTGGAGTGAATATAATATATATATATATATATTTGTATATTCAAATTTTCAAAACTATTTAAAAATAAGAGTGAATATAATATTTATATATATTTTTTTGAATATTCAAATTTTTAAAACTATTTAAAAATAATATATAGATGTGTTTGTTTCGTAAAATTATTGGAAAAAAATTTTTTTTTTTATCTGGATATAAAAAATTATGTACATAATGTAAAAATAATAAATATGTATAATGCATAATTTGTTTTGGAAAAAAAAAAAAGAACAAAGCCTATATGTGTATAAAAATAAAAAATAAATACAAATATTGTTTTTTAAACTATAAATACTAAACATTCAAATTAACATCACTTACTTAATAACTATAATTAATTATATATGTTCATATTAATGATATTAATTAATGATATAAATTAAAATTAATTAAAATCTTAACTATTGTTCAATGAAATTCATTCAGCACATAATCCTTGCTGAATTAACATTGTTTTCAATTTTTTTTTCATTTCAATTATTTTCCAAATTTTGTAAAAATAGAATTTAATTATAATTTTCTATTTTTATTTCTCCTAAATAAATAAATACAGTACATTTATATATATTATATGTGTAAAAATATTTGTATGAGTTGGCACAATTCCAAATAAATATTAAAAATTAAAATATATATGCATTAAACACAGTATATAATATAATATAATTCTATTTATTCAAAAAAATATAAATCAATATATTTCTATTTTTTTATATTATTGAAATAATTTCTTAGGCATAAAATAAAAAAACACATTCACTCTAAAATACAATGGGTGTTTGGCAAACAGTTTATTTAGCTTATTTAACAATTTTTAGTTATTTGAACGGTCAAAAAGCTAATTTAAATGTTTAGTAAATTAGTTTTTTGAAATAGCTTATTGCCCCAAAAAGCTAATTTCTCCCGGCATTCGAAAAAGAGCTTTTTCAATTCATTTTTTTATTTCTTATTTATTTTTAAAATGTTATTATTTATTTCACATGCATATAAATATATTTTCTATTACAGTAATTATAAATTATTTTAATATAATATGGTGTTCGTTTACACTTTAAAAATGTTGTCATACAAAAAATATATTTAAAAAATAATATTCTTATCACACCAAAAAAAATAAAAAAAAATTCATGATATAATTTTTAAAGTACACGATTTACGCTGAATTTCAAAACTAAGAATTATAAGCAATTTTGTCTTTCATTGTTCAATACTTAATATTGAACTTATTTTCAAAGTAAACTAGAATTTACGTTGAGTTTCAAAACAAAAACTTATAGGCAATTTTGCCTTTCATCATTCAACACTGAAGATTGAAGGTTCAACTCTCCTATATTTTGGGAGTTAATCTATCTGCCACATACACTAATACAACATTCTTTTACCAAGTACAACACAAGGGTTTGAGGTTTTTTTTTTATTTTTTTCTCGTTATTTTTCAATGGGCTTTTACCTTTTTAAGGAGCCCTTCCAGAAGTTTATTTTCAATGGACTTTTCCAGAAATTCTCGACTTCTCGAATCAAGCCAGCCCGGCCGAATAGAGGTTTTGGGAAATAGTTTTCAGCCTGCATCTTCTTTAAAACCTCATGACTAGCTGCGTCATTGCCCCAAGTGCAAAGATAAGTTGAAGTCGAAGTCGAGTGATTTCAAAGTGGAAGGTGGCGCGTCGAATCAGCTGCCGGATTCATCGACATAATGCAAAACCAATGAGGCAAGAAATAGAACACAGCAAGGAACACAAGAACCCCCAAATCAGCCTCTTCACCTACAGCCGGTCGCCGCGGAACAACCACATAAATCTGGCTGGCACACCAAAGGCAATATGCGCCGGCAACTGCCACTATAAGCTTCATCGATTTCCGGTGTTCCGATTTCAATCTGAAGAATGAGAGTATAAAATGAAAACTCGGGTACACTAGTGGAAAAAGGCTAATAATTGTAGAAATTTGTGGTAGATCTAAATTGAAAAAATTGCTCATAACTCTCGTGTGATTTCAAAATTCAGCGTAAAATTTTCCTATAATTTAAAATTTGCATGACGTCCCTCATACTTTAAATTTAAAACATCATATGAAATTCCACCACTATGAAACCTCCCTCATATGATGAAAAGATGATTTCCTATCTATATTTTTTTTGCATAGCTGAGAGGTTTCATAAAATATTTTTTAAAGTATAAGGGGGTCATGCAATTTTTAAAGTAAAGTAAAGAAATATTTACGCTTGAGTTTCGAAACCACCAGGAAGTTGTGGGAAAATTTTCAGATTAAAATTTCGCGGCAATTAAAAGTCACGGATGACAATTTTGTGATAATATTATGTCAAGATTTTTTGCTATCACTATTTTGTGTATAATATTTGTAGAAAAATTCACAAATAAATACAGAACCTGTGGATGTATATAAATCCTCCGATTAAGACTGTGCACAAGATGGAAATAACAACCACGGAGTCGAGATTGATCGATGCGCGTGTTTCCCACCAGCCAGTGCTTAATATCCAAGTGTACATGGAGGTATGTCCATTCTCCTGTGAATTCAAGAAGGATGTAAGAATTGTCGATGCAATGTATATGCAAAGAATTTAATGAAACAATTTGGAGTGTGCAATTATAGATTGAGTCGAAAATTGGTAATACAACGATTTATTTTGTTTGAGATTTGCCTTGAATACAAATTTTATTGGCAATAATTATGCAAGTGCTGACAGCATATGGTAGAAGTATACATAGTAAATGTTATAGTCGATTTCATCTCAAAATTACATATTGGTATAATATAAATACTATCAACACGTGGTAATAGTCCACACAGTATATACAATACTTGATCTCAGCTTAGATCACATGTTAACATAACACAATGCATAACATTAAGTAATGGTACATACAATACATCTCATTAATTTAACCTCAATCATGTGAGTGTACATTGTTAGGCCAAACTCATCAACTTCATTTATCCAGTTTTAGCTCTAAATATGCGGTTGCTACAGTAATTTTACTCCAACCATAACTCTATTTTTCACTATTATTCTTCAAATATTTAATTTTTCTATTATTTTAAACAGTTTTTTTATTTTATAATTTAAAATTTAAAAATTTTAAAAATAAAAAAATGGGAAGCAGCGCCAAAAGTACTGTAGCAACGCCAAAAAATGGCGCACGATTTGGCGTCGGTTGCAACCGACGCTAATGGCGCTGGGTTGGTAGATTGGTGCTGGATTGGAGATGGCCTTAACAAATCTAATTAATACTAATCAACACGGTAACCATTTCCAGCGTAATTTGTCAAAGATTTTTCCATGTTGTATATCCCTTAAATAGAGATGGTTGAGAAATGCACGATATTTCTTTATGTTTATTAGGGATATTTCATTCACAAGTGCATCTTTTTATTCTTTTTGCGCCTAAATTGAGTTTGAAATTTCAGATATTTTATTCAAATAATATTTGATATAAAATTTTATAAAGTATTTTTTTTCGAGGACTTGTGAAGTTCAAATAGTAGAAAGTTATACTTCCTCCGTCTCATACAAATATATCTTTTGAATTTTTGTAGTAAATTAAAAAATCATATTTCCTTCGCAGGGTCACATTTACATTTTGCGTCATTGTACTTAACATTAAAAGTATCCTTATATTTGTATAATTTTTCTTACAAATATCCTTCAAAATATTTTGAGTGGAATTTACGAAAATTGTAAAAAATAATAGTTTCAGTTAGAACGGAGGTAGTATATAAACTGAAAAGAAACACACCCTTTTGCTTGAATTACTTTCATAGTTATTGGTTAAATTTTTTTTTTCTTTTTTTTTTTTTTTCTTTCTTTGGCATTGCTAACTATACAACACATATAACCAATTATCGATGAACAAAGAGACACATGACATTCGTAGCTGTTAATAAGATAAGAGAATAGATCGATGCTTTGATCACATACCTCGAACAAATGATCCAAGAAAAAATGCGACAAAGATCCGGCAGAGATCAACAAAATGCACTGTCTCAAGTTTAGAGCTGCCTGAAACCACAAATAAACCTTTTGTTACTCAACAGCAGAGACCAAACTCCTATTCGAATTCGAAAGATCATAAAAAATTGTTCACTAAATACATATTGCCTAATGAAATCTGCCTCAATATCTTGTGCTCGTTAAAATAAACACTTTTTGAATTTCTCGCAAGTTTTCAAAAAAATATCATATCAAATATGGACCTTCTTCTTACAAAATAATCCATCAATGCTTCGGCTTCTATGCCGCTTGAGTCAAATCAGCATAAATATTGTCCAAATCAACACATATACAATAAGGCGGCAAAGCATAATAATACAACATATAATACATATACTAATCACACGTTATTATTAATTTCAATACAATAAATATTTTTATATAGCGCAGTACAATATATAAACTACTCCTTATCAAACACGGGTTGTGTTCTTTTGTAAATTTTACCACAAATTTTTTTTACTATTCGGATTCTTTTTTCTATCCAAAAATATCACATCAAACAATTTCTTTCATATTATACTACAATTAATTTTACGTTCAAAACATCACGTCAAGTTCAACTTTTTACTGTTCAAAAATCCAAAAACCCTCGAACAAACACTTTTTTACCATTTCTAAAAAATTTCAAATTGTATGCAAATGTCGGAACTTTCCTGTAATGGCAGGTTCTAATAAAGTGTGAGTTCATATACAGTAACTGATGTCCGATCTAAACTAACCTCAAATTACCAAATTACAAGAAAGATCACATACAGTAATCAATTGATTCGCCTTCTGTATATAGAAATTAGTTCAGTTATAGTATATAAAACTAAGAAAGCTACAAAAACGACGCCGTTTCACCGACACTTTTACCCAGCAAAATTCTCGAAGCTCCTCAATTTACAGACAAGACGACAACCTCGGCCGATCGGATTATGTACGGACGGTGACTCACCCCACTGAGGATGCCTTTGCGGAGGAGGAGTCGGGAGAGGCGACTGTAGAGCAGCGACAAGGGGAGGCTCAGAATGAGAGGATAGTAAAACGGGTGGTGGATCCAGTGCTCCACGGAGGATCCGAGGACCCGACCCGACCCGGGAGAGAAGGAGGACAGCCAGTCGGCGAACGAACCCATGTCCGGTCCGAAGAAGGCGTTGATGGCGTACGTCACACAGTGGTGCGGCCCGAACCTCCCGCCCGATGCGTACATCAACGCCTGGCCCGACCCGAGCGCGTATATCGTGTGCGGGCCCGGGCCTGGCATGGCGGTGGCGGTGGCGGTGGTTGATTGTACGGTCGGTGCTGAAGGTTTTTAAGAGAAAGCTACGTAGGCAATTTGATTGTCTTTGTTCTCTTTTCCTCTCTGTCTCTAGTCCACAGACTTGGATACGGCTATCAAAAGTTGGGAGGGCTCAGGAGCGCAGGACCGGATTGATCTGCGCCGTTTATAGTGGATCTGTCTGGTTGAGATTGGATCCTAGCCGTCTATTTTTGCAAGATAATGATTTTGTGTTGCGTAAGGCTTTGGCTGTGATTATTCAACTAATTTTACGATTAATAATATCAAAAAATATGAGTTTGTTGTTTTGACAATTTATTAAATTTTATTATTTAAATTCTATGTTTTTTTAAAAAAAAATATATTTCATCAAATATTTTAAAATTAAATCCAAAAAAAACATACCCCAATATATATTATTTTCATTATGATGCAAAAGTATTATTTTTATTATTGTGTCACTTAAAAATATTTTTTTAGCAAAATAAATTACGTTAAAATGAATAAAATATTAATATTATCTCCGTCCGACTCTAAGGATTTCATTTACTTTTTGTGTGTTGATATTTAAATATTAATTATTAAAATATAGTACAAATTAAGAAAAAATTACAAAAATACTTTTATTAGTATCTTATAATACCAATAGAAAGACATTTGTACAAAAAAAAAAATTATACAAATATAAATATATTTTTAATGTTAAGTACAATGACACAAAAGGTAAATATAACCTTTAGAGGTGGACGGGTAGAGTATTTTTTAACCTATTACAAAAGTTATTACTTTCGATTCAATTGTAAAAATATCATTTTTACTATTTTTGTTTGTTTCATTGGAAAATAGTTACTTTTATTATTGTAAAATTAATATACATTAATATCAAAATATCTTTTAACTTTTACATAAATTATAAGCGTACAATTACATAATTTATACATAAATTACAAATGTTAAAATCATCTAACATATTTTTACTAATTAATAAAATATTAATATTTTTTAATCTACTACAAAATTTCAAATAGTCCATTTTGTTTGGAATGGATGGAGTATTATATGTGTTGGGTTTTTTCTTTTTTCTTTTTTGTGATTTTAAACCATAATTCATACCCTCTCTGTCTCAACTAGTTTGTTCCCTTTAGCTTAGTCATGGAGTTTTAGGTATTGTGTAATTAGTAAGTAATTAAGAAGTGTATTTGTAAAAATAATTATAATTTAATAAAAATAATTATAACTTAATATTAAGATGGATAAATAGTTTAATTAAAAGAAGAAGAAAAAATTTATAAATTATGAATTTTAAAATGTGATTAAATTGTATAATTATATTTTATAAAAAATAAATAGACAAATTACATATACCAGACGAAAATAGAAAAAATTGACAAATTAAATAAAAAAGAGTGAGTACCCGTTACTTTACGCAATTTTCAATAAAAATATATTATTTGTTTTCACAAATTATTACATAAAATATTATTTAAATCAAATATCAAATCAAACCATTAATTTCAAACTACATTCACTAAAATTCATTGTATTTGTGTGTTTAGATATTATTTCATTGGTCATTCAAATTTATATTTTATTTTTTTTAGATTTCATCAGAAAAAATATTATATTATTTTCTTTTTTAGTAAAAAATATACATTATTTTTTTGTATTCTTTTACTACAAATAGCATAAAGTAATAATTATTATACATTTTTATTAAAAAGAGTACTCAAATATTTGAGCATATAATTGAATGACAAAAAAAATATAATTTTTAATAATATTTATAGTGTGTCACCAAATTTAAAATATGAATGAAAACACTCAAAATGCACAAGTTCATTTGAATTTTGTTTTTATTGTAATTTTAAATTGATTTGAAATAAAATATTAATTTGAATTTTTATTAACTAAGTATTTTTATATTATGCTTCCATCGTCCGCCAAATTTAAGAACAAGCCCCTAATTTGGCATACGGAAAGAGGTTTTCGTAAAAATAAATATAATATTTTTATTAAAAATTATGCAAAATAAATAATGTTGTCATAAATTTGAGAGCAAGTAAAACAAATCCTTGTTTGTGTTTGGTTTACTTTCTATTTACTTGTAGCATTATTTTTAATATTTTATCATCTTAAAGTCATTTATAAGTTATTATTAGTATCTCTTTGTTTTCAATATCCAAATATATCATATAATTACATATGTGTACATTCAAAAATTTTCTTGTTTAATAAATTAATTTATATTAATTGTGTATGTATATAAACCTTTAATATATAAAATTTTAATTTATGTATAATAATATTAATATTGAATTTATTTTATTAAAATATAATTTTAAACACCAGGGTTGTTTTTTTTGATTGGTTTGAAAAAAAAAGATGATTTCGATTTGATATTAAAATTATTTTAATAAGATGATTTGTGAGAGAAAAAATATATTACCTTCGTTCCGGAATAAGAGTAATATTTATTTTTTACACGAAAATTTTTTAATATTAGTATTATATTGGTTTATAGTAAAAATGAAAAAAAAAATGTCCCTATTATATTGTGAGAGGTAAAAGTAATGACATTTGTGTAATATATTAGAAGTTGTAAGAGTATTAATTATGTTAGGTAGGTAGTACAATTACCAACACCAATGTAAAAAAAATGATATTCTTGTTTTGGGACAGACAAAATAAAAAATTTTATCATTTTTATGGGATGAAGAGAGTATTTTTTTCAAAAAATACATGGTCAAAATAGTAAAAAATTGGGGATTTAGATCAAAATAAGCATACCCTTATTAGTTTGTTCACCTAGCGTTTTGAGATTAATTGATTTTTTTGCATATATTATAGAAAATTATATTGGTAATATAAAAAAGAAGGTAAACTGTTTTTTTAGTTCCGTAACTGAATTCTTTTATCATTTTAGTCTCGTAATTTGATGCTATTTTAAAACAGTCTCGTAAGTGTAAAATTTTCTCAATTTAGTCATCAATGCCTAGATGGCATCTGCGTGGCAGGCTGGCGGACACGTGTCGGCCAGATCAATGTCAAATGGCTGACACGTGTCTACGACGTGGATAATTTTTATTTTTTTATTTTTTATTTTTTTAATAAACAATAAATAAATTCAAAATTAAATATATAAAATATATAAAAAAATAAAATTTAAAAATATAAAAATTAAAATAAAAATAAAAATTATCCACATGTCCGTCATATCAACGCTACGTGGTCGTTACATGGATAATTTATATTTTTTATATTAAAAATAATATATATATAATTAAAAAATATATAAATATATAAATTATTAAAAGTCACGTAGTGCTGACTTGACGGACATATGAATAATTTTATTTTTTACTATATTTTATTTATTTTTAATTTTAAATTTATTTTTATATTTTTTATAATTTATATTTTATTTTTATATTTTATATTTTTTGTATTATAAAAATAAAAATAATTCACGTGGCGAATACGTGTCAGCCACATGGCGCTAATCTGGCCGACACGTGTCCGTCAGCCTGCCACGCAAATGTCACCAAGGCATTGATGATTAAATTGAGAATAATTTTCACTTACGGGACTATTTTAAGACAGCCTTCAATTACGGAACTAAAATAATAAATAGGTCTAGTTACGGGACTAAAAAATCAATTTACCCTATAAAAAATACTCCCTCCGTCCCAAACAAGGTGCTACATTTAAGTTGGGCACGAGATTTTAGGTGAGAAGTATTAAGTAGGATAACTGAGTAACTAGGTGATGTGATGGAGAGAGAAGGGTATATTTTATTTTTTTTATTAGGGTGATGTGATGAGATAAAGTGTGGGGATATAGATTAAGTATAATTAATTATTTCCTAATTTAGAAATATTGCAGGGTGTTTGGCACATACCAAAAAGAAAATGTTGCACGGTGTTTGGGACAGATGGAGTAATATTTTGTGTTGAGTTATTGATTTTTTATGAGTAATTAATGTATATAATATTCTATTAATATGTGTATATTTATATTTTTAATAATATTTATAAAAAAATTATTTCATTAAAAAATATTTGGTGAACTGGCTAATTATTAATAAATATAATTAAATAAATATCCTCTTACTATACTTTCAAACACAAATCCGATTATTATCTGTAAAGCTTCAATTCCTTAGCTTCAAATCAAACCATCTTTTGAATAGTCAGCCATGATTAGGTAAAGTATATTTAGGGTGTGTTTGTTCAGGATTTGGATTTTGAGTTGGGATTTGAATAGTAAAAATTTTGAATTTGAATAGTTGTATGATGTGATATAAATAGGTATTGATGTGATGTTTTGGATGTAAAATTGATTTTTAGTATAATATAAAAAATTAAAAAATAGGTGGTTGATTTGATGTTTTTGGGGAAAAAAATAAGATGAATAGTGTATTTAAAATCCAATCCCCCAAACAAACACACCCTTAATAAAATTATTTATACTCCTTCTGTCCCATTAACATGGGGTTATTACTCGTTGAGAATTTAAGTAAAGTATAATTAATAAGTAATTAAGAAGTGTACTATAAAAATTATAGAGTAAAAAAATTATAGATTAAAATTAAAATTAAGATAATTAAATAGTTTAAATAAGATTAAAAAAAGTTATAAAATATAAAATGTGATTAAAGTGTAAAATCATATTTTTAAAAAATGAAATGATTGAAAATAGAAAATAAAATCGAATTATGTGGGACGGATGGAGTATAAATTATCAAACACAAAATATAGACAAAATAGAAAAAGAAATTATATGATTTTCGAAATTTGCTAAAAAGGCCTTCTGGTTCTAAAATTATGTCTACCTATTTGTGGTTCTGATAATATTGCAAAATATACCTTACCTATTAGTATATAACAAAAATTGTAGCAAACGTGCTTAAACTATGAGTATTTATTATAAATTCTTCTGAATGAGTTCGGGTGTGTTTGTTTAGTGAAATAGTTTGAAAGAATTTTTTTTATATAAAGTATAAAAAATTGAGTAGGTAATATAAAAATAATAAATGTGTATAAAAAATATTATAATTCCCTCCGTTCCAC